TGGTTGATACTGCTGTTTTGGAGTTTCCTAGTGCTTTGTGCAGTATTTCTCAGTAGTTTCTTATACTACACCAATGATGTTGGGGCTGGAATGGAAGATGTGGTTTTTGTTATCTCTGCTATCGCCGGAACTACTTTTGGTTGGTCTCTTTCGCTGTTTCTCGCTCCTTAGCGTAGTTCTAGACTACTAATGTTCTTAAAATGCACCCGAGTTGCCTCAGCCAAAACGTTATGCCTCAAGTGTACAATATACTCACGGGATGCGCGAATCGAGAGTTGCCTAAGACTTTAAAGGACAGGTGACAGACGTAAACGGATCAATTTTTCCCCTTGATGGAAAGTTTTTGTGTCATCAGAACGAGTGAAAGAGGCCTCTGGCTGAATTAAGTCAACCAATCAGCGATATTCTCGCAAAACTGCTTTGATAGCAAAACAGTAGGTGGAAACGATGATGCTTCGTTTCGATTTCATGCATTAAGAAATAACAATAAAACCGTATCAGTCTCATGTTTCTGACATGTGCAATTGAGGTTTTGGATCAATGATGATGCAAACTCGCATCAGAAATAAAAAAAAATACCAAATACAAGTGTAAGTGTGAATCTTCAGTTTACAAATCTAGCAAATAATTTTTTTGAAAATTTTTTAATAAATTTTAAATTTATTAACATGCTTTTTTAATCACACTATTTATTACAATATTAGAAATTAATAATCAACGAACAAATAATGTGTTTATTCATACGGATAGAGCAATGTATGCATACAAACATACATATAACATACTATTTTAATACGTACATGCATTATAACAACGGGATGGCCGCATTATATGTCAGCATATTATGAAAAGATGTACCTCGAAGCTAATAGACACTTGTAAATATAACGTGACGTATAAAATTTACTTGCCATATGAGCTTTTGCATAAATATACATATTACATTTTGTATGAATCAGAAGTAATAATTCAAGTTGTCATTGAAATATATTTGCACACTAGTTGATAATAATGCACGGATGGATGAGCAACAAAGTGCAAACAGTAGTCAAAGTCACAGGGAGCGAGTCTATTGACGCCATCAGCAGTTGGAAGAGTCGATGCGATCCGGACAATCCGCGCATCCTAGGCTTGTATTGTGATACAATATTAGTCAAGATAGGATTTAATCCAGTACTTGCACTAACAAGATAATACTTCGGTAGGGATTAGTTACCCTATAACGAAGAAAAGTAGAGGTGGAAATTGTAGCTTAATAGTAAACATAGGTTTGCAAAGCAACGGATACTGTGCTGCTTAATCTCAACCCCTGCATAATTTACAGGCGCCTTTTGTGACGTAAATTTCTTATTGCCGCAGTAGATTTCTTATACGAATTAGACAACGGATTAACTCATGTATCGCTAATGGCTAAATTTTGCGTAGATCCCGACGAACAATTGTCCATTCTGAGATTAGAATTGCAGGGGATATTATTATTATTATTGGGGTGCTCAATCAATAGTGTGGCATGCGAAGAGTGTGGCAACTGGCGTTAATGGTCTCACTAACAAACTGTGTCACACTGAATTAACGGTGAACCACAAATTAGAAAATAATACAAATTATTCCTCGTGCACCAGCTCATTGAAAGTGGTGAACTCATCAGATAGGCTACGTAAAAATGAATACGATCCAACAATTTTTTACGAATATATACGATGACAGACAACTAGTAGAGAAGTACATTTACTTTGCGATTTAGGCAGAAATTTCTGGAATTAGTAATTCTCATACGGGTAAGAAAAGTGACCTTCGATACGAGGACCAGTCAGTTAGTAAGGGTGACTCTCTTTTAATGTCAAAAGAGTTTTTTTAACAATTTAGAGACGTGTCACAGAGGTGCTAAATGCGACACTTAACTGCTCGCCCCTTATCCTTGACAGGAAGCACCAGGCGGTTTGGCTCCTATATGGAATGTTCCACTGCCTTTTATTTAATGATAATACAGACACTTTGATTTATAAGCTATGTGTGGGGCCTTTATTACATGCACGGTCTACGCAACACAATGCGAAACATCATCAGAAACAGCCAGGCATGTCAATTAAGAAGCTGGAAATCCAAGAACCACTTGATGGCCCCGCTTTCAGAAGGTCGGCTCGCGTACAAGCAGAGATCATTCAGCCGCTGAATAGTCGACTATTTTGTACTAATGTACCTAAAAGTAAAGTATAACAGAAGAAAATAGTGAGGTTATCTTCTCGTGCTCAGAAAAGCGAGATATTATCCTGGCAGTTGTCCATAGTTTGACTGCGAGTGCCGTGATTTTGATCTTACACGACTGGCAGTTCATAAGATTGGTCGCAATACAGTGACAACCAAGTCAAAGCTTGTTCTTATTGGCGTAAAAATTCGAGGCTGTTAGGATGAAACTTGTACTGATATGCCTCGAAAGGAAAAATTTTGTTCTAGGTATGAAGGTGGCTCAGCGTGCACAGGTAAAAACCTGGAACTGTTTAAGCGTTAAATCACTCTAATTGTAGCAGCTTTTTAGCTTTGTTTGTGCATTAATACAGTTACTGATCTTCCGTTGGATTTTCTGCTATCTGCAGCTGATAACATCCTAAAGTTGTTGACTGACTGAAGTTGTACCTTTGAGTGTAAACGTGTAGTAATTCGTTTTTAATGCTAAGAATATGTATTGTGCTAATATTTCTAATTTTTTTACGTGCTTTCTTCCAGCGTTCATTGAGTTAGTTGGTCTTATCTTCATATAATAAGCCATCATATTTATCTAAATGATAAAATATGGTATGTAAGCATTGTGACTTACATTATCAGAAAAAAAATTAAAATTTTTTTAATTAGTTTATGGCAATAAGTCGTTGATCATGACACAGCTTGCTTATTTATCAATGGATGATGAAGACTCTATATGATAAAAAAGCGTTCTGCTAAATCAAAGTTAGTTGAACTTGAGTTATCTAAACTACCATAACCATCCTATCTAGGTTTAATGAGTAGGTATCATTTCCTTTCGATCATTGCAGCGATTAATCATAGATTCATTGGTTCATTAATCATTTTTTTTTTTAAATTGACAGTTTTTTTGTTCATCTTGACGACATTTTTTCTTTCAAACCATCTGCTGAAAGATGTCAGGAACACTTGCGCATAATTCATAAGTGTCTTAAAAAAATAGGTGTGTACAGCCACGTCTTGGGTCGACGTCTACAATGAGAGACTTATTGTCAGACGTATTGCAGTTGTAGCATACATTTTTAAAAGTAAAATCCTATACAAGGACTTGTGTGCTTATTATAATTAAATTTTTTACTATACCACCGATCGATATACATAATTAATTTACTCTTTAGTCGACTACTGTGAGTGTTTGATTAAATCATTGCACTAATTCTTACTTGCTAGTGGATTGTTTAAATTTTATAAAATTTATTGTTTATCGTTAAAGATTTCTTATGAATTGAATCTTTAGCGTTTTTTGATCTATGTGGACAGAAACGTTGTTATAAAATTATAAATTAATGAAATAGCACAACTTTTTTTGCCAACTTTCTTCTATTTGAGTTGTTTGAATATTCTATGCAGATAATGCTAAAAATTATTCTGTGCATCGGTGTGTATCAGTCAAGTGTCTATTGGACACATATACATTGTATCAGTTGTTTCTCAGTAGTATGCATGCACGTTCTCTTTGGGCATGTGTAGAAACCTAATAATAGTATCGGAAATTGTGAAATGTAATAGTATTATCTGCAGTATCAACCTGTTAACCTGTAACTGTGATAGAATTTGCTGCATGAACATAAAAAACATTAAACACTTAACTCGAAGGATAACTAATCTATCATTGACCGTGTCTACTAACTCTTATTTTTGGCTTATGTGCCAACATTGAAATTTTATTTATAGTTTAGTTTCTACTCTGATTGCTAAATTGTAGTTTTTGTACCATGGATGCAAAGCAAAAAAACTTTCACCTGAGGTGTAGGGTGTTTGTATGTTTGTGCCCAAGGTCCAAATGTCCTTTTTTCTGAGGGCACACAGTCAGAGTTTGTGCCCGCAGGCACACTTGGCCCCTATTAATCACTTTGCTTATGGAGGATGGAAAAGTACTTCCTTGTCCATGGGTGTTAAGCAATTACCGAGGACGCAAAGTGATTACGCTGATAGGAAGGAATAGTAGTTTTCGTACCTGGTGGCACATATTGCCAGGACAACCACTAGGATTCCTTGTGCTTACTCTGGTTGGATGCGCACTAGGTGCGAACCCTATTTTTCCTACTGAGGGCCCACTTAACCCTCAAAGTAGCCCAAGGTAGAAAAAATTTATTTTTTACGAGTTTTGATCCTCTTAAAGAGACTTCTACTGATATGATACTGCTATGTCTTACATTATTATTTCGTAAATTTGGAATAAATACTCATAATTTTGAAAAACAATAAGAGAAAACACAAAATTTTAAAGTTTTATACTGTTGGTACCCCTATCATATTTTCACTGACAAACATTTATTACGGTGTTATAGTTTCTAATAGTGCTTTCTTACTACTTGGAAGCACTGCATAATAAAATGAAATACTACTTTCAGAAAATTTACAGAAATCAGTTACATGAGTTCCATTTTTTATTGGTCATTTGCGACATAATCATAAAATGTATGAAACTTTCATACGTTTGTTTGGCCGTGTTTACATGTTAAATCAACTATTCATCAGCTCTTTACCTTTCATGCTTACTATTTCTCTGATCATTCCGTAGACGTAAATCATGTTACGAAGTTGAAAGTATTAGGCTTAATACACCATAATTTTTGAAAATTTTTGCGTTTTGTTACCTTTATTGGGATGCTTTGGCTAACAAACATAGAATGAAATATATCAATGTAGCATTTTCTATAATATTAACAGCATAAGTTTTATTCAAGTAGACTTTGTTCTACTGGTACTGTAATTTTTTGTAAGTGAGCATAAGAAACAAAAAAATTTCTTTTCAGGCGTCAGCGTTAACAGTATGTTGCTTAGAAACATATAAAGATGCAGTGTGTAAGACCTGCGACCAAATTAATGACAACATTAAATCTGTGTACCAACTAATAGCCAAATGTGAAGAACTATCTAGGGAAATGGATGTTTTTTACAAAATAGCTGAAAAAATGTAAGTCTTCCGTAATTTTATACATACGTATATCCTAACAATGTACTAACGAAAATAGTATGTTTTATAGTAACATTATGTTTTATGCTTCCTGTTTTGAGAGGCTGATTCCCATTAAACATGTATGTTGTGCTCAATATAAAGTTTACTTATACTTTCGCTTTAAACTTTTAAGACAGAATCACTAAAAATGAACAATAATATGTCGTTTACTCGATTAAATGAAGCTCACTTCAATTCGTTTGTGACCCATCACATTAGCTTTGCAGTGTCAGGCAAAATCTGCTTGAGTGTTGGGCTGACCTAGTTTTTTAACCTGCTTGGGCCACTACGGCTAGAATAGTGGTGCAGTCAAGCTAACTCAGTTATATTTTTGTATCAGAATGTCCTCTGACACTGTGCTACACTGGAAAAAATTTGTTGGGACCGCCTTCTCAATTTTTCTGTGAACAGCGCCCTTAAGCGGTTGGTGCTACTGTTCTCTCTTTTTGCGTGAACCATTCACCCAAAGTGAGGTAGCAGCAGCACCAAGGACTTGAGGGATCAGTCCTCGTAAGTTTTAGTCGAACAGTGGTACTAAAATTGGTGATGTATCTAAACGTGTGATCGAGGAATAAATTAAATTCAAGTATAAATACGTCTCACTGTAATTAAATGAATGAAAGTAAACAAAACTACGATTTATCATCATAAACTTATCTTATTCACTTAAGTATATACGAATATTATTTTATTACATTTTTTTTAGATTGTAGTAAACGTATTTAACCTAAACCTTAAATTACAAAGAATACTTTGTTATAATATAATGTGTGTTATCGGATCGTGTCGATGAACAAGTAGATACTTTTGGTATATCTCCGTAATTAAATTTTTTTTTGTATTACTTTTAAATTGTACAACAAAAGAATGGAAGTGATTATCAAATGATATTTCATTGTACATTCTCAATTTCTTTTGTACATTCTCAATTTTTTCATGCACGGGTCGATGAAAAAACACTTTAATTAAATGATTAAGTGTATCACAAAGAAATTGATATTGTATGCTATCTTGGATTTCCAATGCGCGAGTATATACTGCCTCAAAACTTGCGAGAACTGATCCCTCAAGTGCTTGGTGCTGCTGCTCCCTCACTTTGGGTGAACGGCTCACGCAAAAAGAGAGAACAGTAGCTCTAACCAATTGAGGGCGCTGTTAAATATAACCCCGTTCCACGACGTAAGCAGACTTCAGTCATTTTTTGGTGCACTCAGAAGGATTACCCGATCTTAACCGCCTGTCTCACATGCTGATTTTGGTCCAGCTGATAGTATGATGAATTGATCACATTTAGTAAATGGTCTGCAAGGTTGTGCTGCATCTCTGCTACTCGCTGCATATTTGTAGCAAAGGCCTCTGAGTAATTTTGCATTGTGATTTGGTAGAGGATCTCCAATGAACTTTTCAGCTCGTATTATACTGGTACTATACACTCGGGGGTGTGTACGGATTAGATGTGCCTGGCATTAGGGCAAGGAGAGGGGAATTCGATGAAAGTGGCATGCTGGTGGGTTGGTGCGACTTCTATGAGAAACATCATTTCGCTTCGCTCTTTCAACTATTACAGACTAATAATAATTAACTTGAAGACATTGCTATCCAAGCCAATTTATAGTAGTAGAGCATTGACTTGATTGTGGATGAGATGGGTTGATTGTGACGGAAAATGAATGAATTGTAGAATCAACATGTTGCTGTAACACAGCCTGAGTTCAAAGTGACGGGTGTACTGACTGAATCTGCTGAATTGTTTGTCTTTATTTACTCGAATCCTGGTTGTTCTCAATCTAATTAACCTTAGTAGTGATGTTCTGGAAGCTCGACGTATTCCAAGTAAAAAGCAAAACAAACAACGTTCCCCCAGTCTGACGGTGCCGACTAGATCGCAGACCAATAGTCCCAACTCCATTTCTTTCTACATCGTTCGCTTCAAGTCCATATTCATTTGTAACGATATACTTTGTGATGCTAGAAAATACAGTAAACTCAAACTAAGTACACTTCTGTGAGACACTTAATTAGACACGGTAATACGTTTGTATGAGATACTCCCAGGAGCCGTTTTTATCTCTTACTTCAAACCAAGGATAGAACTGCCGAAATGGGATACCAGTATGTCTGGGCTAGAAATGGCAACATTTACGTGTATAGAAAAAATAAGTTAGAAAGAATACTGACATGTGATGAAGCTGACCTTGAAAAGTTGGTTTCACATGCCCGTCGATTTGTTGTCGCCACCCGGTGTCCGTTCTGTGCAGCACTTAAGGTGGCTTATTTTAATGCCAACTCAGTCAGTGATCATTATGATGATATAAGGGAGTTCTTGAGTGATCGCAACATTAATATTTTATGCATTTCGAAGACTTGATTTACCCTGGTTCGATGCTCTGTGCTCCGTAGAATCCTGAGATTTAGCTTAGTGAGAAATGACTGTTGTTTACTCTGTACAACAGGCAATAGACAAAATATGTTAGACAGAAAGGTTACCATTTACACTGTAGTTAAGTTGAAATTTCAAGTCATTGAGGCCCCACAAATCACAGAAATTAACGATATGGAACATATAACTGTTAAGATTGATATTCTACCTGCACGTAGGCTTCTTGTTGCAGCTGTTTACAGATGACCCAAGAGTCAGGTACTTATAGCTTTTTTCGAATCTTTTAGTAAACATGCGCTTCGGTATTCGGGCTCTGTGATAGCAAGTGACCTTTATGCTGACCTTCGTGAACATAGTTACTACTTTGTCATCTGATTTCCGAGTACTCGCTTCATCTCGTGCCGTACGATGCTACGCATCATAATGATTGAGTGCATCTACAGATCTCAAGACCTTAGAGAATTTGCCGTGGAGGCATTTCCTTTTTTCCTGCAAAATTGGATGAACGCTGAAACGAGTGGGCTTGATGGCCTGGATATTGAGCATTCCCTGGCAGCTTTCCGTAGGGTGAGATTGGCGATCCTTGACGTGCGTGCATCTTTCGTGAAAGGCACTAATGAAGAACGCCAGAATAGCTTCGTAGCTCACTATTGAGATCCTAGATGAATGTAGGCATCGTTGTATACGAGGGCACGCCAGTCGGGGGATGTGGATGCCCTAGCTGAATTCAGGGTACTCAAAAGGAAATTAATGGCTCATATTAAGCAGTCATGTAGGGCTCGTATGCGAGCATTTCTCATAGGTTTGATGATCAGGCTAAATGTCGGCGCATTCTTAGCCGATTTGGTATTCCGTCTACCAAGTCGCGATGACCGTTGATGACCATGACTTCTCACACGCTGTTGCAGCATTATTCTTCGGGATTCTTTTTGTCCCCGTCCAGCTCTCTAGGTGAACTGAAGGACATTATTTTGTCATTACCGCCCTCTGATGACCTCTTACGTTTCAACCCAGTTGATGTGGTCCAGGTTTGTCAGTTGATGAAGCGCTGTCTTTGCTCGTCGTAGAGCCGCAGTGATGATGATTTGTTGCTGGAATTCTTCTCAGGATTTTTTGGTTACATCACCCTCTATTTTGTTTATTTGTTCAATCAATTTCTGGCTACTTGTGTCTATCCAACAATTTGGGAGCTTTCTACCATTATCCCGCTTTTACAGGTACCAAATCCTGTAGAGGCTGGGAACACTCGTCCAACCACCAATGGCCCCCATTTTGCTTAAGTTCTGGATTGCTTAGTGACCAACCAGATACACAACTATCTTGAGGTTAAGTCGCTTCTCTTGCTGCTCCCAGTCCGGTGTTTGACGTGGATGCAACACTTGTTCCGCATTGCTCAACGTGACAGACTATATTAGGTTAAGTATTGACTGAGGTCTTGTCATGCTGGTGGTCTACTTCGACTTTTGTCGTGCTTTTGACACAACTGGCCATGTGGCCGTGCTACGCTCACTGGCTGGAACTAACTTCTCAGCTGATGCTATACGTTAGTTACATTCCTACATTATCGATCGTTATTTTGCTATACTACGGTTAGGTAGAGAACTCACAGAAGCGCTACCACCTACCTCTGGGGTCCCTTAATTATTGTGACAGGGTCCTATCTGGTCTATGATTTTTATAAATTGTGTATTACTTGTTTTGAGATGTTGTAATGCTATGTTGTTTGCAGATGAGCTGCAGGTCTATATTTAAAATAAGCCGTTGGAACTGGAGGTGACCATTTCTTTGCTTAATGCTGATTTCGAGCAGGTGGTTTTGCTGGATAACTGATTGAGGACTCGTGCTTAACGATAGGAAAATCCATGCAATGTTATATGCTTTAGTGCAGCAGCATATGCGTATAGTTAAGGATGTCCTACCCTCTGTAATGGTAAATGGACATTTGGTTGTTCTTACTCCTAAAGTTAATAGCTTGGGTATTGCTCTTCGTAAGGACCTGCCCTGGAATCACCATGTCTCTCATATGAGCTCATGGGTTCATGGGGTGTTCCATCGATTGCGCTGTTAGAGTGGGGGGATTTCACTGGGTTTCTTGCGATGTTGGCCGTTGCCTTGGTTGTGCCTCCTTTTACTTACTGTTGCTTAGTTGTTATCCTACACAGAGAGAAGTGCACAGCTCATAGCAGTGTGTCACGCCATCTATCTTAAGGTGATATCACGTCATAGCCACGCAAACTGCTTAGCAGACTAGAGGAGTATTACATACACTCTTACAGCTAATAGGAAAAAAGCAGCTTTGCGAAGAGTGACGATCATAGCTACTGTCCATTCTATATTATATCGTTGTGCTTTCGCGCTTGCTGATTCCATTATTGTACTTGAGTTAAGGTTGTATCGTAACGTGCTTCTTTCTTTTTCTTAAATTACCTAATTGAAAGGATTGACTAAGTATTTAATTACGTTGAACTTACTATCCAAAGTTGATCAAATCAAATTTTTATTTTTTTTATTTTACTGAGGTAAGGCATACGTTTATGGTTAATATAAGTAACCATACGTTTAAAGTTAATATAAAAGTAGGGTAAACATTAAAAAATGCTAATTTTGTAAATTGATTGTTTAGAGTTAAAATGGAAGAAAATATCAATCAACACATCTCGAAACTAACGTGCAAATTGTACCAGAATTTGAGATACTGAAGACGTGACATTCAGCAGATAATTAATGTATTTAGTAATTTTATAAAAGATATTTACAATCCTTACATTTTAAGGAAATTGAATAATAAGCTTAAAAAATGCTGTAAGCGAAAAAGTATCATCTGGGATATCAAATACACTTTTAAAATGCACTGATCCATTTAAGCAGTTTCAAAGTAATGATATTCGTTTGAAAATATATGAAAATTGTGGACTACATGTTAAAGCTGAAACAGTAGCAATCAAGACCACTTAAAAAAATACAATTTCTGCATGACAATAAGTTCATTAATAAAACTGTGAAATCCTCAATAGTACATTTACCGATGAAAAATTCATTAAGAAAACTATTGGAAATCAAAGAACCTTTTGATGCTTTGCTATCACATATAAATCTTGTATAAAATAAAAAAAAGTCGTATCTAACTATATACAGTGCTCACATTGTAAAACGTTGCTTAAAACTTGTTTTTTAGGTTATTATTTAATTTTTTTCAAATTTGAGGATTGTAAATATCTTTTAAAAAATAACTAAATACATAATTTATCTGCTGAATGTCACTTCTTTAGTATCTCAAATTGTAGTACGATTCGCACGTCAGTTTCAAAATCTGTTGATTCGTACCTTTTTCCATTTTAACTCTAAACAATAAATTCACAAAATAAGCATTTACTAATGTTTACTCTATACTTATATTGACCATAAATATATTTCTTACCTTTGTAAAATTAAAAAAAAAAAAAAAAAAAAAAAAACAATACGAAATTGACTTACGATAATCAGTTTAAAGTAATTTAATACTTAGTCAGTACTTTCAATTAAACAGTATAAGAAAAAGAAAGTAGAAGCACGTTACAATAAAACCTAAACTCAGGTACAATAATACGATCACCAAGCGCGGAAGCATGACTATATCACATAGAATGGACAGTAGCAATGATCATCACTGTTCGCAAAGCTGCTTTTTTCGCATTAGCTGTAAGAGTGCATGTCATACTCCTAGAGTCTGCTAAGCAGTTTGCGTGGCTCCGTCCTGATATCACCTTAAGATAGATGCCATGACATGTTGCTATAAGCTATGCACTTCTCTCAGTGTATTACAGGAGGTTGGGCTAACTCACTTTGCCTTTGCGTCGGCAATATTTTTTTCAGTTGATGATGTACCGCACACTAACGACCGGCTACCCCGATTATCTTACGAAATTCTTTCCTGGCACGTTAGACTAACGTAGGTTGAAGCCACATGAAGCCTCCTTGTTGTTTAGACCAATAGCTCGTACGACTGTGTATTAGCGTTATTTTAATTTTTTGGCATTGGTCTTCTGGAACGGACTGTCATTTAAAGTCAAAATACGAAAATCACTGCTCTTTTTTAGGGAGGCTTTTTAAAATTATTCAATAAGGCTTATATAGCCTGGCCTTGTCAACCATCTAAGGTTTACCAAAATAAAGCCCATGCTGTTTGATCCCACTGGAATGTAATACTTTTAAGATTCAATTATAATCCATTGTAAAATCATGTTGTGCGTTATAGGTATCGTAAATTTCGTAAATCCTTGCTTCTTTTTTGTTTATTATAATAGCAATAATAATCATTTGTTGCCATTCGTATCTGGTATCCTTGACATAAATACATTTTATTATCAATCAGTCAGTGTCTATCTCTCAAACGTTTTCGTATACTCGATAACACCCGTAATTACCTGTTACTAGTAGAGGCGATGCGGATACCCTATAGGTTGGCAGAAGTAGTCCAAGAAAATCGTTGTGAATCAGATACAATTTACTCTCCACTTAATAAAGCTTGGGCATTTTTTTAAGCATATGATTGCAGCTTGATAATTTATAGAGCTCTAAGGAATAATTTTATTTCCGAAAGATGCTCTATTTTTCAATATACAAACGATGTCAAATGAGACGGTGGAAAGACTGCTTTCCGCAGTAGCATTATCATCGCATGACGAATCCCTATTAAAGATGAAACCAATTATTTCAACGGATGTCAACAGCTACTTCAGACAGAATACAACATGTGGAATAGGTACCTGCATACAAACCTTCGTACTGTTTAAAAAACGATGTATGCAGAGTACCCTGTTTTCCACAATCATGTTGATGCAGTTAACGTTGAACAAAATGAAATGAACTTTAAATGTGAATTTAACTTCCTTCAGGTTGTGTAGAGTAAATATGGAAGGTTGTCTAAGGTAAATATGTAAGCCTTCGACTTCGTGTATGAATCGTTTGTATTCTGCAAGTAACATTGTTTAAGTCTCTTTTTCTAGTGTGATCCAAAGGGGCGATAAAACCTATAATTCCGTGAACTTGGATTGGTCTATTATTATTATCATTATTATTACTATCATTTTTTTTCGTTGTTTTGCTGCATTTTTTAATATCTTTCTTAAAAGGTAAAAAATATTTCATGAAACGATAACTCTTACAAAATTGATCTTTATGCATTTTCATACTTCCTCAGAAAATATTCAACTTACAAAAGAAAAAAAGACTTCAACAAGCCGACATAGAAATGCTCTTCTTTAAATGTATTAAAATAAAAATTATTGTTTTTGAGTAAAATAATTTCATAACGCCTTAACAACTATAAATCTCATATATTACGCATAAAATAAAATTGATGTACAAGTAATACATAGCTTTTTTCTTACTCTCATCTGATTTTTGTCAAAAAATAATGAAGTCACAAAGTGTGGCTAGCAATTACACAATACTATTAAAATCTTTATATCAATACACAATATGATTCTTTAATTTTACTTTTCACGTTTTTATCGTATTTTAAAGACAGCCTGCTTTTCAGTCGCTGAGTTATTGAAAATTCTTTCTTTTATGCGGCAAAGAGTTTTAGAGAAAGCTATAGAATTTATTTTCCGTACATTATCCTACTCCTGCTTTTTTTCTTTAGACTAGTTACTATTCTACGTTATAACATTACAATTTCTATTTTTACTTTATTATAAGACTCATGTAACTTTATATAATGTGACATTTTTTTGTTTTCTTTTTAATTTTCCTTTAAAATATTCGTTGTATTGAATCTAAAATTTTCTTAATTTTCACTCAGCGATACACGTACACACAAATTAAAAACATATGCAATTGGGTACATATGCAACTAATCAAAAAATTATCTTATTAAGGCACTGCTACAGAGTTATCAAGTAAAATTTTTTATTTGTGTTTTTTTTTGCGTTAATTCGATTTTCAGCTAATATAAAATAATCGACTTTGTAATTTAGAGCATAGGAGCCGTGCCAAATCAGGTAAAAATGTGAGAACGTTTAGGTTGAACTAGAGCTAATACACTTAATAAATTAACAATTCTATGTTTATAAAAATTACTATAAATTTTGACAGTTACGTTTATTTTATGATACTGCCCTTGGTAATATTTGACCTCAAAAAAAAATAATTAAATTCAAATAAAAATTAAAGTATTTATATGTATACGAAACTCATAATAACTACAATGAACAAAAAGATAAAGAGTATTTATTTAATATCAGTGAGACGAAAACTGAGCAATACGTGCCGAGTAAAATATGCACAAGGCTTTAATAGAAACAACTATTAGTAAGATAGTGACTAGGCTTGACAAAACCAACAGTGAACTGCGTGATTTGTGTGATGGAGGCAGAATAGCTCTGTAATGTGCTTTCTTCTTATTTTACAAAGCAAGATACAGTACTGCTTTTCAGTCAGTTCGTGATCTCCAATAGTACGCTTTAAATAACATTTAGCTATTTTTTCTACCGTTTTCCTCAAACCATTGAAATAAAGGGTTAAAGGGGAGTAAAAATAAAAATCAGTTCCTTTGAGAACGAGTTTTGTGGGGAAAACTCTTTGACTTATTATTTTATGAAAGCGGGCTGTTAGTTCTGAAAAGGCTCCCATAAAATTACTATCTCAATCACATAATAAATCGGTTTAGTGGTTCCAATGGTCAGTAAAACGTTTGAAAGTACTTACCAACTACAAATCCAATGTAATAGATACGTACTCTCTGCAGTGCATGAAAGTCTGAGAACTTGAAGTAAAATTTGTAACTCTTCTCAGCCTTCGTGGTGTTTTGAGAAGTTGCACATACTGGTACTTCATGGCATATTTTGTACTCTTTTTAATTAATTTTGGATATATGAGTTATTTAATTTGAAGAAAGAGAAGTCCACTTAGACCTAAGTATCTAGACCTAAAAATTGCTGAGGTGTGATGCCCCTAGAGAAAAGGTCTTCCAGATTTTCCTTGGTAGGTACGTAATGACATTGTGCCAATGGGACCTAAAAATAAATCAAAGAACATCGGTTTGCAGCAAAAGTTGCTCAGCAGAAGGGCACTTCATGCAGATAGCTAAAAACGTAAGTAGAATCAGACCACCGACGGATTGAGTGGGACTAAATAGAACTGTTTTCAATGCAATGACTTAAAATTTCGGCTATCAAATAAGCTGTGCTGAGTTCTAATCTTGAAATTAAAACACATTAAAACGATGCAACCTTGCTTTCGGCCATGGGAATGCTAACTATAATTTCATCTCTTATGATGACTTATAGGTACGATACTGCAGCGTAAGCTTGCTTAAAAGCATCAGAGAAGCCGTGTACTTCAACTCTTTTTACTGAAAGAGAGAATATCGTCTACTTCAGGACACTGAACTTATTTAATCGAGGAAGAGCCTGTAGTCAACCTCATTTAGTCTAGATGACATTATAAGAAAGATGATTATTTAATTGTTTTATTTGAATTTCAACAACCACAGCGACTAAAGTAATATTTTATACTAAATTACAAAAGAGTCTAACCATCCGAAAGGATCGCAAAGACGAGTGATTTAAAAAAGTAATAGACGCTTAGTCTAATGGGTGATTCGAAGTAAATGCCCAATTTCAAATTAAAATTTATTTCTATTTCGATTCAAAGCTACACCAAAAGTACATCTAGTATCTTTATTATGTAAAATGTTTATCATGTGTTTAAACACTACATCTCGAGGAAGATCTTAAAAAACCTTGGGATCGTTGGAGCATCATTTTTGAAAATTGAATCCTCTTCACTTGACAAGAGCTTTTACCTGTTTTCTTTGAACGATAACATTTTTAAAACTCTGACTACCAAGTACATCGCAGACATATCTTTC